TCCCTCCCTCTGGATTCAAGAGGTCATTATTGTACCAAGAGGTCGTTATAGTGCTTGAGTTGGGGAAAAATAAGTGGAAATAGTCCTTAGATTTCTCTCTGGAGATTCAGTTCTGCCACAGTGGCAGAGGCATGTGGCTACAGCATTTTTAACCAGGCTTGTCAATCTCCGCTCTTGGCTGGGTCCCTCCCCCCTTATTTTTTCCTACCCTTTCACTTTCTTGCTGTTTATCACCTCTCATCTCTATTTTTCCATCACTCCATTACCATTTTTATTAGGGCAAATGGGGCTAAAAAGGGTATATATAGAAAAGAGATCTTAATGGTCAAGAAATTGCATATGAGGACTTGCAGGTTAAAAAGTGGGATAAGAGCCTCCCTGGTGGCGCAAGGAGTTGAGATGCAACTTATGAAGCAATCCGCAACCTCTGCAGCACAATTTTAATCCCCAGCCAGCCAGGTAACAACCCACATGGTGCAGCAGACCTCTCCTGACTCGCCCGCTATTCCCCTCAGCAGTGTATTGCAGTCAGTCTGCCTGTTCAGCTCCTCACTCTGTCTCTGGTGAATCCTCTCACCCCCTGTGCCTCTGGCCTGTACCCCAGCTCTTGTATGCATAAATAAATAAATCTTAAAAAAATATAAATAAATAATTGGCGCACAGACCTCCTGCTGTGCCCGCTGCTCCCCTCAGCAGTGTACTTCGTTGTCGGTCTGCCTGCTCTGCTCTCCTCTCTGGCTCTGGTGAATTCTCCCACCCTCCTGCACTTCTGACTGTACCCAGTGCTTGTATAAATAAATAAATAAGGGCCTCCCCGGTGGCGCAGCGGTTGAGCGCTGGGTTGCGAAACTGCGCGCGGCCTCTGCGGCGCCGGTTCGATCCCCGGCTGCTCCCCGGCCACCAGAGGAGGGTCCCACATGGCGCGCAGACCTCTCCTGCCGCCCGCTGCTCCCCTCAGCAGTGTACTTCGGTCCTTCTGCCTGCTCTGCTCCCCGCTCTGGCTCTGGGGAATTCTCTCACCCTCCCGCGCTTCTGACTGTGCCCAGTGCATGTATAAACAAACAAACCAGCAAACAAATAAATAAAGCATGCCTCTATAAAAAAAAATAAATAAATAAATAAATAAATAAATAAATATTTTTTAAAAAGAAAAGAAAAAAAGGAAAAAAATTCAGAAAATTGTACAAAAAGTAAGAATAGTAGAAAAGAAACATAAACAATATAAATGAACTTGCCCTGAACTGAGAGGGTGCAGAATATGCAGGGGTTGTTGGAAATGGGGAGCAGTTCAGGAGCTCAGCTTGTGTCTGCATAAGTTGAGACTATCAGGATGAGACTTGATTTTCATTGAAGTTTAGAGGAAAGGTCTAAACTACAGATGGGAATGACAATCATGAGCACAACTCAACTGTTTAAACAACTAAATTGAATGAGATTACTTAGAAAGGATAATTTGATTAAAAAAAAAAAGGTAAAAGAGTTCCACAGACTGAGCCTTAGAGAATGCCAGCACTGGAGCATCAGAAATGACAGGGCCAGCAAAGAAAAGAGTGACTAGGATGGAATAGACACCAGGAGAACTGAAGTCCTTGTTTCAATTACGTTTTGACTAGCAATTAAAGTCTATCAACTGAGTGTTATTTCACTACATGCTTTATTTTCCTATATCTCTATAATACCTCTTGTAACAAAATGCACATACATATATGAGTATGCATGTGTATTCTAGCTAAACATTAAATAATATAAATATGTAGTAAAGTATGTATATATATGCATTTTAATTTACTCTGTCATCAATAGAAACATATTATGAAAATAATTTCAATTTTAATTATTCATGGTTGGCTACATTATTTATATGCTTTATTTTTGACCCAAACAAATATTTTGTCTCTCTTCTGGTTTTATCTGATTAATAGTTGCCTCAACTGTTTGGATTCACTTTAAATTTCAGTGTACTATAAAATAGTGTATAGCTATATTCATTTTATCTCAAAAATTAAATTACACTCCTAACTTTCCATTTAAAAAGCTATAACTATTAAAATATATGACATGTTTAAAGAGTAAGTCATTGAATAGGTAGATGAAATTTATGTATACTTAAAATTATTTTGTGAGTGGTGATTTTTTTTTCCCATACTATATTATTTCATCCTGGACACCAACATTGGCTTTTATTGTGGAAAATGAATCTTTCATCCTCACTAGGTAAGAAGCACATCATTAAAAGTCTTCATCAGAAGCACCAATGCCTGCTACCTAACTCTGCTCTGCAGGGCTGACTTGGGAACAGGGGGCAGGAGTTATGGTTATATCTCATGATGGTGGCACAAGAATGTTGGGGGTGGGGAGAAAAGAAGAACAGAGGGAGTTTATTGGGAGGAAAATGATGAAAGGATGATGAAAAAGGTTAGGGGAGGCAACACTGGTAATGAAAAGGGGGCAGAAGTAATTGCTTAATATAAAGATGGACTGCAAAATAGCTTTTATAAGACTACAAAACTTAGAAAAAGTTAAGGATAAGGAACTTCAAACTGATTTAAAGTAGAAATAAGGGACTTTTATCAGTCATCATATGTCACGATCAAGGGTTTAGATAAGATCTCACAGTCAAAACAATAAGATCAGGTGTCTCTCAAAATGCTCAGCTGTCCACCTGTATCACAATTCCCTGATGTGCTTGCTACAAATGCGACAACCAACTGAAGCAGAGTCTCTTGGTATTGCTAAGGAATCTGCATTTTAAAATAAACACCGAGGCTCTGATGTCATCCTCAAATGAATCTTACACCTGCTAAAATTTGAGTGTTGCTGATCTGGGGTACATATGATGAGAAAGAAATCTTGAAAATGTATATAGTAGATTCAAGTGGAGAGGAGACTTGAGGAAATTTGCAGAGTGAAAAATATGTAGAAAAAATTAATGAAAGTAGATAATGCATGGGAATAAAATAACAGTGAATTGCCAAGAAGGTACGCTCTAGGGAAAGAAAGAAGACAATGATGTCAGGAATCAAAAGAATGCTTGGCAGGGAGTGTAAGGAGACCTAGAATGACAGACTTGAAAAGCAGACAGTTATGTGAGGGGAAGATGGAAGACCATGGCCCTGTGAGCTGCAGCTTTCCAAGAGCTAAATGGTGTAAGAATGTCAGTACTCATATGATGACACTAGAAAGCAAACATAATGACAGAAGAGATCAGTGGAAACAGATCGGAGAACAGCTGCTCCAGGCATTTCCCATATGTTGGGTCTGTAGTAAGTCCCCTTCTCAGCTCTCAGAGATGCTGGGCATCAAAAGCCATCCCCACCTGTGACACTTCAATATCTGTAGATAATCATTTTCTTTGCACAAATAACAAGGAGTTGTTTGATTGACTAAGACCCTTGTGGATCGAACTTTATGTCCAGTCCAAGTACAGAGGAGTGAGTGGGACATTAGATCATGATTTCTTTGTTAAATGCCTTTGCACACACTACCGTGAGATCAGAGGAGCAGAAAGAGACATTGATAACTGACTAAGACTGTTGTTTTCTTTCTCCTCCTTGCCATTGTTGTCTTCTTTAATTTACATTAAAATGTGTATAATAAGTAGTTAAGGAATGTTTTATTTTAACCTCCTGCTTGTGATGTTTAAAGTCTCCAAGTACAAAATTGAGAGCAAATTCTCCTGCGTGTCTCAGACTAGCAACGTGTTTCTTAGGCTTCACAACCCTGTGCCCCCATGGACTTCCCATCCAACCTTCTGAATAGACTCAGCAACCAAGACATGTCATTATTGTGGAAGGAAACAAAGAAAGAAATAACAATGGACTATCCATTATATGTTTGCAAAAGAATATTTTCTCCCTGAAGAAACTCAGACTTTCCCTCTGAAAATCTGTAGGATAAAGGCAAGGGGAGAGTGTAGCAGGTGTTAATTTTTCTTATTAAATTCAAATGTTTCAAAATAAGAAATGTAATTATGCAGATTTTAATACTTAGTTGATAAAGGTAACAAAAATGTTTAACATTTAAATATTCAACACAGGCTGCAAGGTATGATGAAAAGTGTTTCAAAAGTTAAAATGGACGGTGATATGAGCCAGTGTGGACCTAAACTGACTTCTCTCTTTTTGGCCTGTGTTTAGAAAGTCTTCTCCTTTTTCTGTTGGAAAACCTCCTTTGTCTTTCCTAATGAGACTGGCCAAAGATCCCTTCATTCATAAATCCTTATCCCTGTACATGCACGAGCAATTCTAAATGATGATGATGAAAATCAATGATCCTTTAGTAATCAATTTTAGAGTTTTTTCACAACTTGAATAAAAAGCCACAAGGAACAAACAGAAGGGTGATAAAATAACCTAATGTGGTTTTTTTATGCACTATATGTTCTTTTTCTGTCTAATGAAATTCTCCATATTACCCCCATTAATTTATTTTCTCCCCATTTCTGTTATTAAAATGTATTCCCCTTTGTCCCAAGTATCATAGGGGAATAAAGAGGCTAGAGTTAGTGAATACTTGCTCTGTGTCAGGCACTATTTCATTATCTTTACATGAATAATCATGAATCTCACCCATCCCTTAGAATTGTTTGCATAATTACTCCCTTTCCCTGATGAGGAACTGAAGACTGCCTAAGATTACCTGTGTAGTAAGTGACAGAGAGAGGATTTACAAATAGATCAGTCTGAATATAAGCTTTGTACTTTTTCCCTTTATACTATGTGACTTCAACTTCACTATTAGTTATATTAATTTATTTTCAATACTAATACTCGGTATACATAATCATAAAGAATCTTCCTAGTGGCTCAGTGTGTACTGGATTTATTTTACCTACTCTTAAAAAAGGTCTTGGTATTTTACTTAAGAAACTCTTATAATATTGTGAAAAAAATCTCAAGATAGTTATTCAATAGGAAGTAACAATATTTAGGGTTCTGTTCTGAAGGGGTGCACATTCTTTCTGCTTTTGATATAACTTGCATTTATCTTTCTTGTTGCAGTACTGGATATCAGTTTATTTACTATTCACCTGAAAACACAGCCAAAGCAAAAGAAGTTCTCAGCAACATCAATCAGCTACAACCTCTGATAGCAACCCATGCAGACCTCCTGCTTAATTCTGCAAGCCAGCACTCTCCAGACAGCTTGAAGAATTCTTTAAAGATGCTTTCAGAAAAAGTAAGATCCAATCATCATGATAGTGGGGGAAATGAAATACCCAAATCCCCACTGGTGTTGCTTTCTGCATACATTGCCTTTCATAGCATCTGGAAATGTAAAATAGACTAGGTAAAAAGTGAGCTTCCAAGTATTGCCACAGGATCAAAATGAATTGGCCTCATTCTCTGCTCAGATCTTACTGAGCTTTAATTTTTTTTCCCTAGTAGGAAATGAAACCTGTTATTTGTTGAGATATATTTTCTCTTTCTCTTGACATAGTTCATTTTCTTTGGTTCATGGTCTTATTAAGTGAATGAATTAGGTTTTGAAAATTATTTTCCTCTAGTGATCACCTAATTTTCATGCAGGAAGTTAGACGCGAGCAGAAATGCCCCTTTTCTGGAAAGCAGAGCGTTGTGTGGGTTCTTCCCAGTGGCATAAGCTAATTCCTCTGCCTTGGTGTGTGTTCTACCTTACCTTCTAGGAGAGGTGGTAAAATTTCTAAAAGTGTTAGTTTTTGGAATGCTATGGAGCCTAAGCCTTATTCTAAATGTGAGCAGTACCTGTATGTGACAGAGGAAAGGTGCTCTGTCATGGGGTGAACCCCCAACATCAACTCCCTGACTTGCTGGGGTCCCTAAAGAGAGAGAGAAACCAAGATGGAAAAAGACAAATTGTAACTTGATTTTAAATGTAAAAGCAGGTATCCTAGCATCCAGTTCCAATATTCTCCTCTTCCACCTCTGCATTTGAGGACATTTGGCAATTTATTGTGAGATACTTCCGATAAATATGCCTTTGAAGAAACAGATCAAAGGACCTCCACCCTTTTCTCCCCCTCCCCATACCAGTGTCATTTTAGATAAAGGTGACAGCCGTGAGTCACATCCCTGAAAATAGAGTCCTATAAAGCTGGCTATTATAATATGTGTGTACAGTTTTGATTCAGATATGCTCATTTATAATAATAATTGCTAGCACTTTTTTAAACATTCTAAAGTGTACATCATTCTTTCTTTCTCTCATTGAATGAAATCCATTTCTATTTTCATCAAAAATTAGCTAATAACTACTTAGAAAAGTCAAGTGAAATTTCTAAAAATTAAAAAGTGAAAAATTAAAACCCAAGAGTTCCAGTTCAAAATGCAACTTTCCATGACAGAACAGGTGCTTCATTAAGGAAAGGAAGAAAATATTGACCTGGGTTTTATAAGTACTGTGCTGTGCTACGGCCTTGTAACTTCCATATTCCATTTACTCTTCATATTGTAGGTGTGCGTTCTCTCCATTTCACAGAGAAAAAGTCTGAAGTTCAAAGAAGTTGGCAGGTGTGCACAATTGGCAGATAGGGCCAAACTCAGGATTCAACAAAACCAGGGTTCAAAGTCAGGTCTCACTGACTGTGGCCTGGAACCTCTTTTTTTTTTTTCCTCCATTGTATGTGTTTTGGCATTTACTTTTTGAAAATTTTAAAAACTCTTGCTAGAAAGTTCCTCAACAATCCTTAAATATTCTAGTAGTCACTAGAATCTTGGCTGTCATCTTGGCTGGGAGAAAAGAAAAAAAAAAGAAACAAGAGTATTGCATATAGTAAAATAACAATTTTGACCCATTTCTATTTTGAAATTGTAGATGAGATGAGGTATTTCTGGACTCACCTAAGCAGAAAGTTTTATCAAGCAGCACATCACAGTAGTGACTACAGAGCAGTATTTGTATCCTTCTTGGGCACTGGGCAGAGCATTGTCATTTCATATGTCATTTACAACTTGCTGCAGTGATTTTGGGAGGAATGATATGTGTCTCTCCTCTTTTAGTTCAGTATCGTTCCTACTTTTTCTTTATGTTTTTCAACTGAGTAGACAAACTATATCTCCTAATAATTCTGTCATTCCTTGAAATCAGGAGGATCTTTTTTAAAGTTAAGTTTGCAAACCATGCATTCTTTCAAAAATTCCTGCCTGAAATTTCAAAGAATTATCTAAGTTAACAGAACCTTCCATCTTCCATGAAGACAGAAGCTCAGGCTATAGAATAAAGTATGATACCTGAATTTAGCATGAAAGATGAATAGTTTTAATGGCATCTTAAATTTTAATATAATTTAATATTAGTAAGATTGAGGCTTAAAACATTTTATTTTTTAAGATCAGAGGTTTTGCCCACTGTGGATTAGAAAATAAAAATTCTTTTTATTTATAGTCTTCCTGTTTCTTTGAATCTGAACTGGTCTATTGAGAAAATAAGAGTAGTTTTCTCAGGAACTCATTTGTATACAGCACATTCAGTATAGAGTAGGGGTCGTCGGGCCTCCCTGGTGGCACAAGGGTTTAAGTCTCACCCCGCCAAACCTCTGGCCTACACCCCAGCTCTTGTATGCAAAAAAAAAATAAACCTTATTAAGATAAAAGAGTAGAGGTTGTCTATGTGCATGCTTCTCAGAAAATGCTCAAGGCTTATGGCCTTGGGCAGCAGGTCTTAGTGGAAGTCACTGTAGTGGACCAGGGGTGCTTCAGGAGGTTGAGGACAGCACAGTGCTGCTCCAGGAGGCAGTGGCTTCATAACAAAAGGGCGTCTTTCCTCTTGAGTGAGCCCCTGCATCTGGAGATGATAGTAATGGACACAATATCATTTCAATATACACCCAGAGCCAGGGGGAAAGCCAGGGGCATCTGAGAAGCCAACTTGCTAACAGGTAATATTCAGGGAGGCTCAGTGCAGGGGATATTTGAAGATCTAAAGGCAATTCACATCCTCTCTACGGCTGCTGATAACCGAGCACAGGACTAGTTCCCTAGGAAAATGTCATCCCTCTGAACCTGTGTTGGTGGAAAGAGAAATAATACACACAATTTATGGAAAGTAAAAATAATGACTGAATCCATACAATTTGCTAGTCACCATCCCTGACACTAGGAGCACAAAATGGAACAAGACACAGGCTTGTTATTCCCAAGAGATTCAAGCTTCTTAAAGGTGATGGTTATGGTGCTAACGATGGCACCATGTTAGTGTTTATTGGAGACTTAAAAACTATGAGCACTAACAAAGTCTTGAATGTTCACAAATCCATGAAGTAAGTACTATTATCTCTAACATTTAATCTTCCTAATCTTATGGAGATAGGTCATGTTAATATCACCATTTTACACAGTAGAGGAAACTGAGGTACAGACACATCTATATAATGCACCCGAAAATTTTGTGAACAGAGCTCTAGAATCTGTGAGCGTAACCACTATATTATATTGTCGAATGTTCCATGAGAAGTGTGAAAACACAGTATATACAAGGCACGTCCTCTCTTGGTGTTGCCAGTAGGTTCTTAGCAACTTCAAGTCTAAGTGAAACATGAAACCAACGTTACATGGGCTGGTTAATATAAATAAGAGCTGGATTTCTAGGCCATATTTATGGTCACAAATACATCAGCAGGCCTTTCAATAAAGACCCAAATCTACATCCAGAAGTTAGCAGTCATTTGTATGCATTCATTCACTTTCCACCCACTTCTATCAGCTTGGAGTCTCAGATATGCCATGCAATGGAATACTTCACTATTCTCTAATAGAATGTGATTCTGGATGCAGGCCCTTCATGATCTAGAGAAATTCCAAGGCATCATATAAATGCTCAGTATCAAGATGAAGTGAAAAATAAGCTGCTATTGTGTTTCAATCTTTTTTGTGTGTGTAAGAGTCAGCTAACCACCCAAAATTTTATGTTGCGAACCTGTAAAATCTACTGCATTATCACCCATGTCTTTACTGATAAATAAACCCAAGTAAGTTATAAATAAATGAAGAGGAATTTCTGTGTGTGTGCATGCTGCAGGAAGAAAATTATGTTGATTATAAGCACCATAGAAGATTTCACTAGATATTCAGCAACACAGTAATTATGTGTGTGTTATGGAAACTGGAGCTATAGTAGCAGGGATTCAAGGGCGGCAAGCTGTTTTGCTCTAAAAATAAATCAAAAGAATTTATTGAAACTATTAACAGAGAAATAGTTTAGTTAAGCTGAATGGAAGTAAAGTCACATTTTTTAACATTTAAATTCACATTGATGAATATAACGACGCGACATTGAAAATTATGTAAATAATGTTTCCACATTTTGCCACAACTATGCTGACTTGCCTGAGGGCTGTCTAGCCAATTTTTTCATCAGTATTTTTATATCTTCCATTCTCGTTTTAACACTTCTTTGTGACCATCAATTAACAATTCTTTTTTTGTTCCTTTCCAGAAAAATTTGCCTTTTATTTTGATTTTCTAATTTATTAACAAATATTTTCTAATCTTTTATTCTTGTGTATTTTTTCATATTTCTTGTCAACTTCTCTTCAAAGTATCTTCACTACAACTGATGGATTTACTCTTTATTCTTCTCGAAGTAAATGCACTCAGAACAAGCACAATTCTTACAGACAGATGTGTAGTGTTCAAAGATGTATTCTTTCTGAAAGTTCTGTGAGCATGAAAATTGTGCAGGGAAATGATATATCCCTTCCTCACAGTTGTGTGATATCTGAAGAGAACAGTTAATTTGCTCAGAAAAGTAAATGCGTATTAAGAACTCACAATGCACTGTCAGCTCACATCGTTGAAAAAAAGAATAAAGACAATAAATCCAAGATGTTTACAATTTCCAGTAAAGTTTAGCAGTGAAGATAGTAACACAGCAGTTTTGGACATGACCAATTATGAGAACTATAGATGTTCAAACACTTGGGCAACTGGTATTAGGGAAGATGTGTGAGAAGGACAGAAACCTGCAGGTTGATGGTGGCCAGTGGGTGTTGTAAAGTAAATGGAAAAGCTACTGAATTTGTTACAGAACATGAGATCTGTTCCAACTGGGTTGCCAGTAAACAGTCTGCCTCAGGACACTGTGCTGCTTCTTAGCTCTGGGGTCTGGTTAACAAGGAAGTCCATTTCAAGGCTCCTTCTAGCTCTAGAATTCAATGATCAATTGCAAAGTCGTAACTATGTACATATGTCTAATAGTTTTACTAGACATTTGTTTTACATGTGGTGTATCTAGTTTTCTTGAATTGCTAATGCCCACAACAGGGAAATTTAGAGACAGTTTCATCACCACTAGTTGAGGCATGGCGCTGTGGGCTGCGCAGTGGAGTGCAGAAATGATTATCCTGTGTTACAGCCATGGTGAGGTCAGTATTATATCCAAGAGTGGCTGGTCAAATGGTGATGTTGGATCAGTTCTTATTCAAAATATGCTATGAATTAAAGGGCTCCTCCTAACAGATTTCAAAATATAAATAGATTAGCAATATGGGTCAATGCTTGAATTGCTTCTCTACTCGTTGTCTGAACAGATTGTCAGGCTGTGTGCATGTCAAGTATACTATAATACAGAAAAGCAATTACTGTGCTCCCCAGTAGATTACAGGGTGAAGCTATTAAACATTTCATCAGAAAACTGCAAAGTACAGCTGTAAAGTTCTTTATGATTGGGAGCCGCCATTATTTGAGTGCTCAGTAGGTATTTACCACCAGCTGGTAAAATCTACCAGGGCAAGTTTCGTGGTCACCTCGTTAACATGGAGCATTGCTGCAACCATTTGGTGGAGGAGATGGTTTTGGGGGTGACAATAAGGAACAAAAGCCAAATGTTGTCATGGGCCAGACTGCCTTTGTCATCTCTACTGTCAAAATCTGCCATGATTCTATAAAAGAAAACAAAGGTGATCTGCCTCTATTTTTTGGAAAGCATTTCTTTCTTTCACCTTTACATCCATTTAAAATATGAAATACACACAGTCTGATCATGTCTTCTTTAAAGGTGTATTTGGAATTTCTTGAAAGGCAGAGCAGGTGGATATTGTTCAAGTGATTATCCCCAGTGAAATTTATCTCCAAAGACAGGATTTGGAACTCACTGAGAGGGGGCCAAGGAGACAGATGGTGTTTATAGCACACGTGGAACCTCAGCATTAACTTTTAGAACAGAAGGGCGCACGGCCTTGGCAGCAGCCCCAAACTGAACTACTTTCCATTGATTGGTATGAATCATTTTCTCTTTCTGGCGCCTGTTCTTTTTCCATCCTCCACCCCACTCAAGTTCCAACAAATCTGCAGTTGACCTTTTCGTAGCTCTATGCTGGGTGTTTCTAATCCTTGTCAATTTCTTTCCAGACAGAGCTTTTTGTCCACGCCTTCAAGGATCAGCTGGTCAGAAGCGCTCTTTTAGCACTTTACACTGCCAGACCAGGAGGAGTCCTTAAGAAACCCCCGTCTCCTAAGAGCAACACAGAAGAGAGCAGCCCCCAGGATGCGCCCCCACCGGTCAGAAGGCAGGACTCCATACCGCACCACTCGGACTACGACGAGGAAGAGTGGGTAAGGATCTTCTGCCCGGCTTGCCTTCCAGTGTGTAGTCCTGGGAAAGAAAGCAAGAAAGACATTCCTGCTTTCCATCTACATGAATTGAAAAGCAGTCATAATACAGATCGTAGCTATATGGGTAAAAATTTTTCTTAGGGACACATTATAAATGGAAGTTTTATTCCTTATCACATTTATTCGACACAAGAATTTACTTGCTATGTGTGTACTTATTTTATACATATGTATACATATATTTATATATCATCAAAAATATGTCATCAAAGCAAAGATGCTTTTATGTATAAAATAATACTTAACCTTATTTCTTGCCAAGGCAATTAACTGATAAAAATGTTTTTTAAAAAGAAAAGTTAAAACTCATCCATAAGATCATGGCGCAGGTGCAGAAAGTATTTCCATCATTGTAGTCCACTGTTTCAGTTCTGGCCATATTTTAAAAAGTTTTAGCATTTTAATGGCAGGACACAAAAAATAGCTCTTAAATCATTCTTGTTCATCCCTCTGTTATTAAAATTAAGTTATTCTAGGTGGTCTAAATCGTCAGGAGACAGGCCACATGAAAGCATCAAGATAGTAACTAGTAAAGGCAAATGAACAAAAGAAGTAAATAGTGGGAGGGGTGATGCAGAGCGGTGTTGTTCCTGAGTCATTTTAATCCTCCCAGAATCTTCCAAAATACACCACACACACACACAGACACACACACACACAGAGAGAGAGATACACAAAAGGAAACACTTTCTTATGTCACATGTTTTACCGACAAAGTAGTATGCAAGCTATCTTAGATGTTAAATAGTTAATGATTACTTTTCCTGCCACTCTAAATTTAAAAGTATTCTGGGAGTAAATTATCTGAAAGGCCCATGTCTCAAAAAAATTGCTGTCGGAAGAACCATGAAATGAGGCATTCTTTTTCTTTTGATAAAATGTCTATCACAGTGAAGAGAGAGCTGGGCCCCAAGAGGTAAATGCTGAATAAGTATTTGTTGTGGCTGATTAAGATTGTGTTTCTCCCACTGAAGCATTTTCAAAAGAGCAAATCTAATATTTCTTCCTTTTACCTTTACCTTCTTCAATTTATTCACAGCTCCAAGGCGTACACACTTCTTAACCTCTCTGAAGTTCCATTTTTCTTAACTGTAAAGTGAAAATAACAGTACCTGTGCTTAAGAGTGGTCATGGGATAAATGATTTACCTGTGTGGTAACACTCTATTACCTAGGAAGACCTGGACAAAAGCATTATATTACTTTCACAGCATTGTTACATTTATTCTCAGATGTGTAAATTACATAGTCCTATTTTAAGGGCCAATACTACCCCTTGAGATAAATGGTGAAAGTGGATCTCTCATAAAAAGAGGGTTGTGAATTTCAAAGAGTTTGGGGAGATATCAAAAAAGAACTTGCATTTCATTTAATTATACATACAGTTAATTAATTACATTAAATCAAGTGAGAATTGTGGACTGGACAGCTTCTGTGTCCGTAGCTTTCACCTCACCATGAGATGCAAACCCGCCCCACAACTCGCCTTCTCCTCCTGGTGAAAGTTGTTCCTCTTCTTTTCTTCCTTGTTTTCTTTGCTTTAGATAGTTTTGAGACTTTCTAGGTGGAGCTAGTATGACTTCAACTCTAAATTTCAAATCCAGAACCTTCTTATGATGGAACAGATGGAAGAAAGAGGGGGTCAGATGTTGAGTCAAGGAGGTTTATGGTTCATCATTCTGTCCAGTAGGTCTATTGAATGCCTGTTCTGTTTTGAGCCCTCTCTGCATTGCATGCTGTGACTCAGAGAGCAACCACCCAGATCACAACCAACTCAGACTCTAGAAAGATAAATGGCAATTACAGTACAACGCTGGGTTTTACTCGGTGAAGCGTGAGGCTCTTGTGGTCAAGGTGGGATTCCAGAAGCTAATATTGAATAAAAGTTAACCATTCGGGGCCTCCCCGGTGGCGCAGCGGTTGAGCGTTGGGTTGCGAAGCTGCCCGCGGCCTCTGCGGTGCAGGTTTGATCCCTGGCTGCTCCCCGGCCACCGGAGGAGGGTCCCACATGGCGCGCAGACCTCTCCTGCCGCCCGCTGCTCCCCTCAGCAGTGTACTTCGGTCCTTCTGCCTGCTCTGCTCCCCGCTCTGGCTCTGGTGAATTCTTTCACCCTCCCGCGCTTCTGACTGTACCCAGTGCTTGTATAAATAAAACAAACAAATAAATAAATAAATAAAACATGCCTCTATTAAAAAAAAAAAAAGTTAACCATTCAAGAAGGGGAGTGAGGTGGTCTTTTAGACTGGGATTCCTTAGCTGATCTATGGCAAAAGGTAGGTAGCGTGTGTATGTGTTTATTAATTGTCTGCTAGTTTTGTCTTAAAGACACTGAAAGTTGAGCATGTTTACTCCAAAAGCTGTCGGAAAGGCAGAAAGGAAAATGACTGCTAAAGCAAGGTGCTTAGAAGCAGAGAAGAGAGTCAAATCTAGTGGCCTAAGTTTCAGGGAGGTCAAGTCCTAAGGGAAAGTGTGCTTTTTTGCCATGATGGCAGGGAGGAGAGATGCATGTGGCTTTTGTGAATGGTGGGTGAGGTGGCAAGATGGCTGTTTTTTGTTTGTTTGTTTAGAACATTCCAGTACTATTGAGAGCTAATTGGCATAGAACTCTATATTAATTTAAGGCATACAACATAGGAGTTGATAGGTATAAATACCGGGATATGATTACCACAATAAATTCAGTTAACCATCTATCACCTCATATAGTTATAATTTTGTTTTGTTGTGATGAGAACTTTTACGATCTACTCTCTTAGCAGCTTTCAAATATGCAGGTCAGCCTATTGACTACCTTCACCCATTCCCCTACTCCCGACCTCTCAACTTCCATAACCACCAATCTGCTCTGTTTCTATAAATTTTGTTGTATTTTTTTAGAGTCCACATGTAAGTGAGATCATCCAGTATTTGTTTTTGTTTGACTCATTCCCCATGGCATAAAGCCCTCAAGGTTCATCCCTGTTGCTGCACCTGGCAGGATTTTCTTCTGCTTTATGCCTAGCAGTATTCATTACATAGCTGGCTGGGTACATTGCTAGATAGCCAAAGGATAGGTAGATGATTGATAGACTGATAGATAGATGATCGATAGATAGACATCTCACATTTTCTTCATCTGTGCATCTGTTAATGGATGCGTAGGGTTTTAGGATGTTTCCATGTCGTGACTATTGTAAATAAAAAGGCTTCCATGAGCATGGGGGTAGAGATGACTCTTTAAAATAGTGATTTCTCTTCCTTCATATATATGCTCAAAAAAATTCCTGGAGCATATGGTAGTTCTATTTTTAAACTTTTGAGCCACCTCCGCACTGTGGTCCATAGCAGCTGCCCCAATTTACATTCCCACCAGCAGTGTACCAGGGCTTCTTTTTCCAAATCCTCGCCAGCATGTGCTTCATCACTTTCTGATGACAGCCGTTCTAACAGGTGTGAGGTGCTACCTCATTGTGGTTTTGATTTGCATTTCCCTGGTGACTAGTGGTGTTGGGCACCATTTCATGTACTTGTTTGCCATTTTTTTTTAAAAAAAATATCAATTCAGTTCCTCTGCCCATCTTAAAATTTATTTTGTTTTGACATTGAGTTACCTGGACTTAACATTATGGTAATGTTAACCTGGGTGTTTACCTCATAGTAGGTGGTGGGAGGAGAGTGGCAAAAATTTCAAATCTGCACCAAAGAAAATGGGGGGAGGAGCTTGGTAGCAACATTGGAAACATTAGGAAGAATTCCAGGCCTCTGAGGGAGCACCCAGGTTGCAGGGACATCTTTGGGGCTGTTGGTTCACCCCTGACCATCCCCCTGGGAATACTTTGTTCTCTGGCCTCTGGGGAAAGTCTTACTGATTTTGCTTCCATCTGATGCAGCAGGGTCTTCTTCATTTCCCATCATTTGTGGTTTCCTTCAAAGGCAAAATACGTAGGATGATAATGAAGTTCTGGTTCTCCTTTCATACAGTCTCTGAATTTTCTCCGGAACCTCTATTTCTAGAAAACAGCAATGTTTTTTTTCTGAACCATAATGTTTTTTCTTGCCACAATTAGAAGGAAACTCTTTCCCACTTATTAAAGTTACTTCTAGCTTTGTTCCTAATATAATTTTAGTCTGTTTGCAAACAGTAGCCAAGCTTGATTGTTATAGAACATTCTTACTGATTTTTCCTTATCCATCACTTTCTATTAAAGAAGAAAACAAAAAGCCCTTCGCCAGGAGATGGAAATCCCATATTTAAAAAAAAAGAAAACTCTTTCACTGAAGGCATAGCAATTTAACATTATTTTACAATCTTTAATTTTAAAAAGTTGAGTAAATCCAAAGAAAATGCAGCTAATTGAAAAATGCCTTTAGAGACATGCCACTAAATGAATTGGAAATACAACTTCGTGCCACTTTTCTTAGTTAATTAGGCGTTAGAAAAGTTCTAACACTGATTGCAAATCTAGTCAACTTCCTGAAATAATTCAATGTTATCAAGTAACTTAATTAAGCCTCTGTCATATCATATGAAAATATTCTCTGATCACTTAGGTTGCTTTTGGTTTGCAGATAAGATGATAAGAGCTCCATTTGAGAAAAAAAAAAATCTGTTTGTTTTACTTAATTTCCGAAAGTGGCTGTAATTTTACTAATTACCTAACTTACACAGCTATACTTAACTTCTTGTAAAAAATATTTAGGAAGTAAATATGTATCAGTAAATTATTCTTGAATTCTACTCTGCTGATGCATGTAATGACCTATTTCTTCTAGAGGTCAGGAGAGATAAACCCTATTAATTCCAAATTAGCACGAGGCTATTCTTTCTCTTTTCAACTTTATTGTCAAAATTGATGACGTGTGAATCTGGATAATAATTGTGCAGTCAATATGGAAAAGACTGAAACTGAAATAATCAAAAAAGAAAAACCGTTATTGGCTAAATTTTGCTATTAAATGAT